TCTTGGGAGAACTTTGAAAATTCCGACTCGTGTAGGGTTGGCTTCCTACTGTCCTTACCATATCTGAATGACCAGCAGATCAAAATAAACTTCACCGCTCGTCCTTCGTGAGGGAGTGGGAAATGGGAAACGAGCACATGGGAACTATGGGAAGTGTGCACAAACACACAAACACAGATTTTGTCTAAAAATAAATTCTAAATTTTTCAAAAATTTGAATTATCCTTGAAAAGATTTCGTCGGAGGCGTGGCTACTGCCGCGCACCTTCATCTGGAGAAAATTTTCGCCGCCATCTCCCCCCCCCCCCCCCCCCCTTCTTACTCGGACATAAACCCTGGAATCGCCACTGCTAAACATTCACCCATATAAATGAATTTAGAATTGTCGTGTCTTTTCTTTGAGTTGGTTATTCTAAGTGAAACGTTTTTGGACTAAAAATAGGATAAAGGATTCGGCATCTTCAATACCCTCTGCGGGCATGCACCGAACGCACACTACTTCATAGTCGAAGAGGCAACTGTATGCGTGCGAGCCTAATAAAGTGACTCGCTGGAACCAGCCGATTACCAAGTCAGCTTTTGTCCTTCCAGATTACTCTGGTACCAATTTGACGGCCCGGAGGTTGGAAGGCTTGCTTGATCCAGGAACGGGGATCGAGCCTGTGTCCGATCTGATCACAGCAGGACCTCATTATACTACGCCACTCGTCCTCTCTAGACTAAAAATGTCTAATTTTTAAGAGAATAGGTTTTTTCCGCAATCGTCAAGGTGTTTGAGAAGACCGATTTTTGCAGTTACCAATTACGATTCAAGAGCCCTCCAGTGGCCGTATTCATCAACGACTCCGTGGGTTCCGGAACCCACTGGGTAGGCTTAATCCACGAGATCAGTATTTACGAGGTAGTGGGTTCCGGAACCCAGTGGGTTAAGCCTACCCAGTGGGTTCCGGAACCCACGAAAATCCACTTAACCGGTATTCACGAACGAACCCACTCACACAATTATTGCGAGCACCCGCGGCCCCTAACGGTGCCTTTCGGCGGTGCGCGGGCGTTGAATTCTTGATTTAACCATCCGCGGCCCTAGAATTATTTGTTAGGCGACCCTCGGCTCAATTTTATCGCTAAGGAGATGCCGCGGACCTTAAAAGTTTTATCGGAATACCTGCGACCCAAGAAAAAGCACCTGGGCGAGCAGCGGGCCTTACTGGACGCACTGCATCCGAAAGCGTGGGAATGAAATGTATGAACTTACTTGCCCTACCGAGGTGTATTGAGCCCCCCCCCCCCTCCTCCCCCCAGATGCATATTGCGCACTAATCAGGCGCTTGGCGGGCCACCCGCGGGCATTGTCGGGCGCTTACCGGGCACACCGGGCACTTATCGGCGCCTGGTGTGCCCGTTAACTCCTCGGGATGGGCGTGGCGTCGCCCGTGCGTGCTCGCCATAATTGTCTGAGCAGTGGATTCGCAAACCCAAAAGGCGAGCATACCGGTACTCACAAAACAAGTAACCCAGTTCCGGTTCCGGAACTCATAGAGCGTTGGGTTGTCGAACCCAAGCATGATGCAAAATCCTCAGTGGGTTACAAGTGAGCCCAGTCTTTCTGCTGAAAATTGAGTGGACTTTTTTATGTAGGGATGGTTACTACTAGCATTACGCATTAAAGACACTTTCCATATTTTTCATAACTAGGAATTTTGTTGGATAAATTTAGATAAGATATTTCACTGAGATGTAGGAATAGCAAACTTGATGCCATTTACCACTTGGCAGTCTCTGAAAAAGTCGCAAACAAGCTTTTTGACGGAAATTTTCATCAAAAATCATAGTGATTGAAACTCTGTCGATGATCCCTTTGATACTCCAGTCCAAGGAAGACGTACTCCCCCTCCGGGCATTCGGGCATCCTCGCACAAGAAATATAAATGGACAAAAACATTGAGTGCTTCTTGCGAATATACACCTTGTCACTGGTGATGAAAATTCCGTTCAGAAGTAAGAGTTTAAAAAGGCATAGATTCACTTGTTACGTGTAGCAAAAACATTCATAAAATAAAAACTAGCTACTCCTTGCGTCATAACATTCAAACTGCGCGATTCGCTTATGTCAGTTATGTACAATACCGCTCACAGAATGTGCAAAATTTCCGTGAATGTTGCAGAATTCCAGGAATCCCGCGAAGGTTCGCGAAATTTCGAGAATTACGCGAAATTCCTGGAATTCCGCGAAATTCCGGAAATTTCGCGGAATTCATGTGAATCACGCAAATTACGCAAGGCCATAACTTCTTTCCGAATGAGTATATTTAAAATACGAAAACAGCATTGTATTCAGCTCGTCAAGGCGAATATTCTGGTGTACAGGTTATGTCCAAAACCTTGTTTTCATAATCTTGAATTTGCACGCGGGCGCCTTATCGCATGGTAGTAACGCAACGAGCATCACACATAGGAGACTGCCGTGGGCACCGTTCGATAGTACTCTTTCACTAGATTATGCGCTAAACAGCAGCCGAAGACTCTTTTTCAAAAGAAATAGAAGAGCTGATAAACTCTGGAAAAATCAAGCTGTTTCAAGTTCTACTAGCCGTAACTTCCTTCAGAATGAACATTTTCGAAATCCGGAAGCAGCATTGTGTTCATTCGAATCTTACTATGTACAGCATGCCCTTGAAATTTCGTTTCCAATTTTTTCAAAATATTCTGCGCGCGTATATTCACAAGGTCGCAACGCAGCGCACATCAAACATAGAAGACTCCAGTAAGCACTGTTGGATTATGCTGCTTTCGCAGATTATCGAACGCAAAAAAGCAACCGGAGAATTTTCTTGAAAAAAGATAGAAGAGCTGGTGAATTCTGGAAAAATCGTGTTGTCTCAAATTTTGCCCACCGTGACCCTAAAATGAGAAGCTCTACCGCTAAGCAGATGTGATTTTCGTAATCAGCAGGTCAGATAACCTCTATTAGCAAGTTTTCAAAGAAATTCGGGTGAATTGATTTTTTCTCGTTCTACGCCCTGAAGCTCGCCGATGGGTTTTGATCAAAATGTCGATGATCTCGGATTGTGAGGAAACTTCGCTCAAAGAGGTTTTCGAACACGCTGTTTACGATAATAGTCTTTTGCGCGGAGTACAGAGTTTTCTAGCAGAGATATGGTGAGGGAACTTTAGCTAAGCCACGTAAGTTCGTAGATTCGCCTGCATTTCTCGAGCACCTCTTAGAAAATCTGCTTGCTTGCCCTTGCAGGTTAAATTCACTAGAAAGCGTGCTATTCAACGGTGCATGCATTCAGCTTCAGTCTGTGGCAATCGCCGAGTTAGGGGCCTAAGAAATCACGTCCTCATGAGTTTTGCCCAAAATGTAAAGATAGCCTGCTTCATAGAAATTCCACCTAAGTGACTGTAAGACACTGTGGTCACCAATTTTGTGTTCACTTCGCTTAAGGAATCTATCCTGCTCTACTGGAATTAATTAAATAGATCTGAGCTCTAGTCACGAATCTGCTTTTATATTCACCTAAGGGCTCAAGCACACACAACCACCGTATCCGATACAATGAGATCTCAAGGATCTTTCGAGTTGAACATAAAATTCGCGACCACAGTGTCTTACAGTCACTTAGGTGGAATTGGGGAAAATGATTTGGTTGGCTTCTAATTCCACAGTTTGGACATCTTTTGAAGCGGGATTTCTGAGATGGACAAAGAAGGAGTAGTGCTTTGTCTTGACTGCAAAAACGGCAGCTGATTCACCTTTGAAACAAAGTTAACCATGTTGGAATATGACCATTTCACTTAGGTAGCCTAGTATCTTGAATCTTTAGAGTTCGCTCAAACTTTGTCTACAGGGGTTAATTGACATGCTCATTATGGATACGTTGCCCATTATGTTTAACAGGGCCTTTCGGTAATGCTATCTTAGGTATATAATTCAGGGGGGGTCTTATTAAGACAGCAATCAGGGGGAGGGAGTCGTAACCAGCGACCATGTGCCACACACCTTGCTTGACCCTGGGGACAACTCTGGACAAGAACACTTGTCCAAAAAAGAGTAGAATCCTTTTTTGCATCTCCTTCCACACATATTATAGTCGATAGTCATTGAATCCGAAAGAATACTCGAGTAAAGAACAGAATTGCAGGTTTCGTCGCACAAAAGACATTGACTGGTGGCATTCATCCAGACATAAGAGTTCTCGACAGCGTGTCAAGCGTGCTGGCACTTTTAGTTTGCGATTCGTGTGCGTGGGAAAATGAGGAAAATAGTACACCGATTAGAGAGGCACGTTGGTGACGTCATGGGTTGGCGAACCTAGCGGTGCACTTGTGAATACCGATCTTACCCAGTAGGTTAGCGAACCCAATGGGTTCCGGAACTCACTGGGTTCGTTGATGAATACGGCCACAGGTTTACACCGTACCATGAAAAGACGCTCAGTAAAAAATTGTTGTATGTGTTAATGATATCCTGTTTGTGTCCATCTTCAGCCAAAAGCATTACTCATTATGATTTAAGGAAATCATATATGACAGTTTTTACAATGTCTTTTCTTATTATTGGTCTGTCTCTACTTAAGCCAACCACAATTTCATTGCTTGTTTACGAAAGAATTCACTTCAGAAAAAGAAACTGTCACTTGGGTCTAATGGTAAGAAGGCTGCTTATAAGAAATAATGCCAAGGCGTTAGAACTCTGTTTGACATTTTCCCACTTATCGATTTCACCGTCTCGTATAACACTTTCTATTTTTTAATCTTGTTGCCTTTTCGAAATTTTTTTGCACAATTTTGATCTTGTTGCCATTTCGTTATCAATTTTTTGTTCGTCTCTATGGGCTTAATGCGTTACCAACAAAAACGCTGAAAAACCGGTGAGCGCAGCAAAACTTATTAACCACTCAAGATTATCTTTAGTGCCTTTAAAAATTTCGCCTCCTATGCTTTACTCCGCTTTCAAAGAATCTTCAAATGCGAATTTACGTATCGCTATATTTAGACAAAAATGTACACTCCAATGATTTTGTTGGCCATCGTTGGATGCGTCATGACAGCCGTACATAGAATGCATATGAAAAGGATCACACCGCCAATGTTTGAAATGATACGTAATGGAACCTATGAGAAGTTTGTAAGCGAGATGATGAAACGACAAGCAATTTACAATGTTTATGGGGAAATTCACATAGAGGATGTGAGCAGGCAAAAGTATTGTTTTTGCGCAGCTGCGAGCAATTTTTTATTGCAGTTAATTACATATTCCGACATGCAATACATTGGTGAAATCACGATCGGCGATCCTCAACAAACTTTTCGAGTAAGGCATATTTTAATCATATTTTCATAAGCATTATGTAATTATTCAAGGTAGTCTTGGACACAGGCTCTGCCAATCTTTGGGTACCTGATGACTCCTGTTACAAGTTGCCAGATAGACCCGATCATTGCAAGAACTCGTTTTGTGATTTGGGACGTGAGTCAAAATTTTGCTGGTATGGCTGGTAATTCCCAGTTAGATATGATTTGCGAATGGAAGTTAATATTCACCTCAGACAGAAAAATAAGAGATTAGATAACCGTTTCCTCCAATTCTTTGCACATTTTCGATAATTTTCTAATGTGCTAAAATAAGGCACGCTCCACACTTTATTCGTTTGATCCATATTGGTTTTTGATAGGGAACTAACCACTAGTAAACTGGAGCAAATAAACATCCGCTTCGCTATTGGTCGTTCACTGATTTGGCCAATAGCAAAGCGGATTTAGCAACTTGAGTGGACTGAGTGCAGCGCTTGCGTAAAGGAACCCCAGTTTGATCAGAGAGTCTGTCCGCGGCGCAATCGGTGGTTAATAAACAATTCCAAAAGCTTAACAGCTATGATAATTCGCACTGATGCGTGGCTTGCTAAAAAAGTTCGGTTTTCTTGTAAAAAAGATATTGACAATTTTGCAGCTTTCATTTTCCAATGCCAAGAGCTTTTTTATTACGAAATCACCGTTTCTAACATAAACAAAGGCTTAAAAGCAGATTCCTTAGCGATAAGTGGAAAAGTGCATTCCAAGGAGCCTGCATTAGTTATGTTAGTCTTAAGCTCAAAAGTCATGCGAAATCTTTGAAATAAGAAGTAAAGGTAAAATACAATGGTAAATCTGTGACTTTCTCCTTCACAGGCTTGTTTTTTTCTTAATAATCTTTTCTTTGTTTCTCAAGAGTAATTTTCGAGTTGCTTGATACATTGATGTTCGAAAACTGGTCTCAATGACCTGCAGTTATCACTCGCAGTTCATGGACGGAGAGATTATAATGTTGCAGTAAAATTTACGGTTGTAAAGCTGCGGAAAAACAAGAATAAGCGACATGGATTTCTTTTTGAGTTAGAAAAACGGATTGTCAAACTCGTGCAAAGCATTGAAACTCCTGTGTTCTTCCCCAATTTTGTTACACGACACTGATAAAAAATCTTTTGTTATGATAATCAGTCGATATTCGCTTAAAAGAGGGTGCTTGCAGTGCTAAGAAAATGTGGCAAGATTTGCGCGTGAATAGATATCGTTCATTTTCTGAATAAGAGAGACGATCACGCCTTGCGTACGTTTATTTAACAAGTTGACAAGTCAGTTCCGCGTTTTGGTTGATTTAACTCATTGACGACGCCTAATTCTGCGAGGGGGCGCTGTGGGACGACGCGGTTTTGGACAACACTTTCGGTTTGGGAAGGTTTTGTGGTTATTTACATAATTCAGAGTTGTTTTTTGAACAACTATAAACACTTTTTTGAAAGCGGAGCCTATACAGGGTGCGCCACAATCATTTGTGCGTGTATCATTAAGCGCCATACGAATATAAGACCGGCTCAGCCAGCGGTCAAGCTTGATATTGTTTTCTTGGTTCTACAACATTGTATCCTAGTTAAAAGAAGTAAAATTGCCTGTTTCGTTTTTCGGTAAAAATTCATAATATTTCTCTGACTTTGTCGCGTGCTGCACGCGGGTAGAATCCCACAAAATTGCAAAGTATGCATCTTTTTAGTGATCGCTTCTCTGAGGTGAATATTTCGCCATAAAATAGATCTATTCTTTGACTTTAAGATCACTGAGGTTCGAAATCTTTGGAGCATTCAAAACAAAAATCTGACTATTTGGTAATTTGCGTCAGCTTGCGTTTTTTCTGTCACGAACATTGCTTTTTGCTATTCTTACTTTTTTAAATAAAGACCGATTGATCTTGATGGTGCTTTTTGTAGAGTATGCTTACGGCATTCTGTAACATTAAATCCAGACCAAATTTCTCATTGCCATTATTGTGGTATTACTTTGAATATTTTGGCGCAAATAATTTTGGCGCACCCTGTAGGTTCCAAGAGTGCAAAAAATTGGAAAAAATATCAGTGATTGGAAAAAATAAGTACAAGACCTTCAAATAATATGACTTTGCAAGAGGTGTGGGCCATCGGTGGTCCAGTCGTTGTCAATGGGTTTATTAAGTTTTCGAAGGATCATGTTCGAGCTCGTTAAACAACCCAAGTTCGAACATGTTCTGTCATGACTTCTTAAGGTAAATTACCAAAACGCGTTGAAACACGCTCACTTGTTAGTGTCAGACTTACTCAAAACGTACTCGCGTCTCTTATTACCGCGACGCGATCTCAATACTTCAACGGTTTATAACTCAACCTAAGCGCAATCCGAGTAAACTGAAGACGGGGCATTTTATCGATCTGCGATGTACATAATGTCAATTTGTAGTTCGCAGGCGATGGATTTGCAGAGATCTGGCAGATTGCCAGATAGCGTGGGCACTGAAATCGGGTGAGGTATGCCCGAGGCCTTGAACAGAGGATGAATGTTAGTTACTTTAGTGGCCGGTCATTTGTGCTCGCAAAATCCCAACATTACTGGCGTGGCTAATTGTTCAGTGCACATTTTACCGCATTTTCTCTGCACTGCAAGAGCGCTAGATATCGAATAATTATATCGACTTTAATATGAAAAATTCCCGCAATTAATGTTAATGTACATCAGAACGTGAGCTGTTTGAGAATCGTATTTGCTAAATAGATTGGTGGGGATTTTTTCGGTTCAACTTTTCGGCGGCTCTCAACCGAAAGTCATCTTTCGACCATTTATCAACATATTAACCTCCGTTTATTGGAGCCCATAAGATCTGTGCTGGTTCCCACATTCTATCAAGCAGTACTTGATTTGAGAAGCAATTAGGTTTTCACCACTATATTACAGCGATCTGCGAGGTGTTCTGCAGCGATCCCTCATGCTGCGAGGTTCAAAATAAAACTCATATTGGAAATCCCTGCGGAAACAAAGCGCGTTTCATAGCGGGAAAGTCGAAAACCTATGAAACGGTTAAAGGAAGTTGGAGTATAAAGGTTTGTTTCTGAAATAAATTTATATTGATCTAATATCCGTTCCTATCTTTTTTCTAGTATGGCACAGGAGACGCTACGGGCTTTTTCGGCAGGAATACGGTACGTTTTGGCGCGCAAGGTACTGACCAACTTGTTGTTCCTGGAACTACATTTGGACAGGCCAAAACTATTGCGAAGTTCTTCGCTAATGTAAATTTCAACTTTTATTTCCATCAAATCCAACTGTCTTCTGAAAAAAAAAATTCACCGAAACTCTTGCAGCAGCACCTTGATGGCATTTTGGGACTTGCATTCACCGAACTTGCAAGAGAGCATGTTATTCCACCACTTATTCGTGCTAACAGTCTTGGATTGCTTGACAAACCAATTTTTACGGTGTATTACAGCAAAAATGGATGTATGTTCATCTATGAGAATTAGTTTGAGACTAAGAATAGGAAACGCCTCATATACAATAGGATTGGAACTTACTTTGGTTATTTATTAACCTAACTTGCCTGGGATCAGTATTATGTAGAAAAAAAGACATCTGTCCTCATTTTCTTCTGCAACTTTGCTCATTCATCCACTTCTTTCTCTATCTGCAGACGTAATCAGCATTTCAATGAGTCGAATCATTTCATATGAACATGTGTGTGATTGCACCCACTGTCCACCTTTGGCGTTCCCATCCTGGATTCACAATCTCAGAAGCGTAAGCAACTGACCAATTGTTATCCCTCGCATCAGTTATGGGAATTGGTACCGGGAAAGTAAAGAATACATGAAGAAAACACCAAAAACACTCACCAGAAGGAGTGCTTATTGCTAGAATCCAGGATGGGAACGACAAAGGTGAACAGTTATGCAATAACACACATGATCATATGAAATGATTTGACTGAAACTCATCGATGCTTGAGAGCAAAAATCAAGCTGATGAAAAATGCAGGCGTTGCATTAGTTCAGTTTTTTCAGACGTTAAAGACGTTTATGGAGGAACCATCACCTATGGTGGTTTAGACACTATAAACTGCGAGGAGGAGATTACCTACGTACCTCTCTCGTTGGCAAAGTACTGGCAATTCAAGGTGACCTGAACTTTTTTTTATTTTTTTACAAGCAATTCAGTAGTTATGATCAGGGTCAAGCAAGAGGCGCTTTACACTCTCCCCAAATGCGACCCCTCCCCCACCTCCCAATCTATTTCAATACGACCCCCTAAGCTACTAAAAATCTAAGACGGGCATAACATAAAGGCTCCACCAAGCATAATGAGTGTTATCAGTATGACTAGGTGGCTTACCCGGCTCCGCCCGGCCCTGTCAGAACACTTTGATGAAGTTCCAATCCCTTCCCTCCACAACCTTTCCCTGTGTCCACTTCTACATGCAGTTCCCTATTTCCCCTGTGTTAGTAATCAGCATGCTCACCTACAACCTCCCCCTCCCCCCCGTGCCAACTTCCAGCCCCGTAGCTCAAACTTTATAAAAAAAATCGATAAAATCGATAAAAGAATCGATAATTCTGAAAAACTGATATTGTATTCGTAATCAGCATGCTCGATTACCCCCCCCCCCTGTTCCAACTCCCAGCACCGTAGGTGAACACTTCAAAAAATCGATTAAAATCGATAAAATCGATATCGATCGAATAGTAGCCTACGACACCCACCCCGCCCCGAAGTGTATGTGTGCCAAGTTTGGTGGGGATCGGTTCAGAAATGGAATTTTCTATTCGGAACATACGTACATACAGACATACAGACAGACAGACATACATACATACAAAGACATTCAGCTTTGTATTCAAGAATAACATTTCAAATACCCTGTGGACTAAGTTGCGAATTGAAGCGTGCAAATACTGGGCCACCTAGCTAAATGGTCATTTCTGAACACAACTAACTTTGTTCCAGAAGAAAACCGCTACCCCTTTTTGCTAGAAAGCACTATTCCTTCTTTGCCCACCACAGAAATCTCGCCTCCAAAAATCGCCAAAGTGTGTTGAAGCAAGCCGAAGTTTCGTTTGTCTCATTTTTCGATTTTGATGGCCGTGTTTTCACCAACTATTACTCAGAGCAGAGAAGACGTATCCGGTTCAATTTACTCCTACGAAATCTTCGAGGTTTATGCTATGGAAATAAATATCATTCGCGAAAAAGGTTTTTGAAGGTAAGAGGGTATGGCACAACCCTAAAAAAGCTGTGGCTACCACCCCTTTTTAGGGGTTGAGCTAGTACACCCCATTAGCGTACCTTCAAAGCTTCTAAATATCCGTGCTTTCTTTATCTTTGTTACTCTAAACCTTCTTCTCTACACAGTAGGGATTTCGAAATCGTTTGTTCTAGGGAAAAATAGAATAGTTCTTCCTTACATATGCAGATGGAAAATACTGCGGAAATATTGGGTTACGGTAAGATGATGAGTCTCCGCGCTACTACGTGGATTGCGAGGATAAGCGGCAAGAATACATCTACTCGAAAGTCTATACATCGTAATCATCACGGTAGTGATTTAAGCCTGATTGAATTGTTCTAGTGTAAGATATTTGAATCGGAAAGTGGGACAAACGAGAATCGCTTGCTTTTAGTTGCATAAATTGGCGATTTTTTTGAGCGGGATTTGTGAGGTAGGCAAATAAGGAGTAGTGCTTTCTACTAACAAGGGAAGGATACTAACTTAGATTTGCCTTTTGAGATGAGACGCATACGTTTGGAATCAGCTTTAAACGCTGATTCCAGATATGTTGTTCCTAGCTGCCTAGCGTTATTCCGGAGCGAGTTATGGGCTTGGCGTTGTGAGTAATTAGAAGACTTCTGAATGTCGTAAAACGGCGTATAGGTAGGAATCTGCTCGAAAAAAGTGCTAGGATATTGAACTAGCATCAGTTTAATTCTTTCGACTTTGAAAAGGAGCATTATATTTACAATTGCAAAACCACGTAGACGTCGACACCGCAGCATCCGTAGCTCGAGAAGAACGCAAACTTTGCCTAGAAAAAAGACCACAACTCGCTTCAGAATAATGCTAAGCAGCTAGGAACAGCATATTCAAAATCAGCGTTCCAAGCTGATTCCAAATATAGATGTCTCATCTCAGTAGGCGAATCTAAGTTAGTATCCTTCCCTTGTAAGTGCAGAAAGAGGTAGCTGTTTTTGAAGCAAAGTTGATTGTGTTCGAAAATGACCATTTCACTAGGTGGCCTAGTGTTTGCAGACTTCAGAATTCGCTCAAACTTGGTCCACAGGGGTTATTTGACATGCTGATTATGCATATATATTCATTATACTTGAGAGGACTTTTGTTATGCTATGGTAGGTATAATGACAAGTTAGTATCTCACGCGCTTGTATATCGCATGCTAGATTATCTTGAAAAACCTTATCAATATTATGTAATGTGGCCATTACACGGCTATTTGTCGCTATTATCGATATTCGACTACAACCCTCTTCCTTTTCTGACGCCTCAGTACGATCCCTCTAGGTGTGGTGTGTCACACCCCACGCTTTACCCTGCTTATGGTTGCCGAGCAGGGGGACGGGGCGCCCTACCGAGAAAGTGGGTCGCAAACTACTTGAAGGTGCTTTACTTAAGGTGAAAACTGCGCAAGTGTCCTTTTTTTCGATTTGTTAGTAAAAAAAACATTCTGAGCATCCTTAATTTTGGGGGTGGCTGCCTCCTTCTGCTAAGTTCTGAAAATCAGTCCCGCTACTTTTTGAAAAAGCGCATTTCAGTGGGATGACCTCTACTCAAAAAAACTTGTTTTCCCTTTTTTAAATAAATTTCTTAAACTACCACTGGTACGTCGATTAGAGACTACTATTATTTTCAACAACAATCATTTTCCTTCTCATCCAAAAAAACCAATCAATTCCATTTGAGCTTCAACATGGCTCTTCAAAGTGATAATCAAACCAAAACTTATGACCACGATAGGCAGTGGCGAAAACTGAGCTAAGTAGCTCAAAATGTTGCTGAAAGCAATCTTTCTTGAACCTGCCTCCTCGAAAGTCTGGTATAGTATAGTTGGCATCGCTATCCTCCTGAATAGCGTTCCATACAATATTTGTTATCACAAAATACTTAATGTTGATGCAATCTTTTGTTCTCTGTTCTTAAGTTAATGCAATCGTGTCATGTGTAGAGTTCAAAGTGTGAAAGTTCAGATAGATGGATTTTCCGCTAGAGATTACAAAACAAATGAGACAACATGGGAAGGAGTATCAGATACAGGGACATCGCTGATTTCTGGACCAGTTGCGGTAGTTGCAAAGCTAGCCGAACGATTGCATGCAAAGGTACAATCATTTTAGGAATTCCAGATTTTTTAACTATAAGATTGTCAAAAACCTTCGGCTTGTATTATTTAAAAGTGAAAATGATTTGCGCTTGATTATTATAGGAAGTGAATTTTCAAAAAAAAACCTAATGCCGCCAGCCAACTAAATTTATGGGGGAAATGGAGGCTAAGTTCTAAAATGCTGAGATGCGAGATATTGAAATGCAGCGTCATTTTTGTTGCACGGTACTTCACAATTTATATTTGCTAATAAAAAATTGCATGCAACAAACTCAGTAAAGTCCGGGACGAGGGCATTCGGAGAGCGAACGCATTCAGAGAGCGAACGCATTCGAGGGTGTATGCGCTTCAACGATGAAAAATATTCGAATGCCACGTCTGCAAGCGCTTGACAAGTACCGATATCGTCAGCAACCAGCCTCTACTTGCAAAACAAATATTCCACAATATTCTTCCAGCTCAAACTCTCTTACTTCCTCTACATACTCGACTGCAATGCGGACGCTGAAGTGACCATCAGAATTGCTGGAAAGGACTACCCTATCACTGCTAAAAACTTGCTCGTCCGCCTTAATGGAGATACTTGCGTACTGGGACTGAAGCCAAGATTCGGCGCTTCTTTGGCACCACAATGGATTCTTGGTGGCCCATTCCTTCGGGAATACTGCAATATCCATGACATGGCCAACAAAAGGATCGGCTTCGCTAGACCACGTGAAAAGTGATACTCTTGGTTCATTGATTCTATAATAAAGAATGGCAAGGGTTTGCAATAACATGTTGACAAGTTGCGGAATGAGCCAAGTGATTGCGGTGGGTGTGGGGGTTCAGATTTGCAGAAAAGCTAGCGGGATTTTTAGGAGTAAGCGTCGTTCCTCCTCGAGGAGTTTTTCGGAAGGGGTGCGGCTATTAGGTGAAAAAGGCTACAGTTTTGGAGGTGCCGACACTCAATCATACCCATATAGTACAAACTTATAAAAAAGTTTGTACTATATGGGTATGATTGATCCCGAGACTTGTTGTTTTGAGTTTTTGCTATTGGCACACTTTGGTTTACGACATGCTGTAGTAGTCACTCACATGTTCATGATGGTCTGTTCACATTCTCTTTCTGCTAAAGTATCCGTGGCTGCCCCTACCATTCAACAAAAGTCCTTGATAACTAATAAGGGCAATTTTTTCGTTCTTCCTCGAAATCGACCCTTCATAATTTCAGAATCTTGACGACGGCTCATTCAGAAGACCGTGGTCTGACCCACTGTTACCTACCATTTTAGAGGACCTAAATCGTCGTCAAGCTTGGGACTGAGAAGGTGCTGCTAAATCAGCAGATAGAAGTTTTACGCTCTTCCCAGTATCTACCAAGGGTCGAAATAATTTCAGAATTTTTACGACGGTTCATTTAGATGACCGTGGTCTTATCCACCCGTGGTTTTAAAAATACGGTTTTTTTATTTCTTAACTTAAAGAACCTTTGCGCGATTTTTCAAAGGAAACACTAATCTTGTTCGCAGGAACTGCGCGTACTGGGTATTCTCTTCTTTCGTTCATAGTAACTCCCCATTTTATTTTTCTTTCCTCATGCTGTTGAAATGCTGCTCATGCTCTTCTGAATCATTGGATGATTTGAGGTTGATCCAAAAGTTTATTTGTTCTCTAAAAAACCGTAACTCCCTCCTTTATGAATAGATTTGTTTGGTACAAATTTTTTGTTGAAATATGGAACTGATGTGGATTCTAGTGATAGCTTGGCTGCTTTTTTTCGGAACACATGCTGTAGAGACAAACGCAAGAAAAGTAATTGCGAACTTTGGTAGTTCCTAAAAACTCACCAAAAATCTAAAACGAGCAGTTACAGTCATAAGCATAGGTTTTACATGATTCTTTCTGTGTAAACGAACAGATTGATTGTCTCCAAGAAGAATGATTCAGTTTATGAAAACAACGCAAAACGGCAAAATTGATTTTTTTTTGAATTTCCACTTGAAAATCATTGTTTTGTAAAGGCATTCGTCAGCAAAGTTAGCTTGTTCGAATAAAAAAATGACAAATCTTATGTTTATGACGTTTCGATTTTTGTTGTAACGTTTATTTTTTTTACCTTGCATGTTGTCCAGAATCAGAGTTACCTTATTCTCGCATTTTTATCTCTGCAACATGCGTTAAAAAGAGCATTCAACTTCTTAGAGACTACATGATTTATTTGATAAAACTATTTAAGCAAATCCATTCATACGGAAAAAGTCACGATTTGTTAGAAGTGGGCAGCTTTCCTACCAGCTTAATATGATACAAGACGCCAGTCCACTCCATGATTTTCGCGAATGTTCACAATTAGCATCATTTGTATATATCATACAAGTCTCTGGCAGAAACCGTACAAAGTCAAAATAGAAGCGGAGTAGAGAAAAACAGCTTCAAACTTGAAAGAGATGTGATCCTAGTCCAACCGATTAAATTCTTTGGAGCCACGAAGTTTAAGCAAAATTATTTGGCTTTGTATAGCATCTTATTCAAACTCACTGCGAATTTCATTTTAAATACCTTAACACATTTGCTAGCATATTTCTAAGTTGTAAGAGTTACAGCATTGAGGTCGTCCAGGTATGTGAAGATTCTAGTGCTTGCAAAATTGGAAACAGAATTTGTACTCACTTTGCTCGCTTCAAAAGTGGGATGCGCGGTTCTGGGCCAAATAGTCGAGGAAGATCCTTTCTGAATCACAGCTATGGTAATCTGGAGATGAGGAGCACACACAAATGAACATGAGCTTCAAAAAACCATCTTCATGATGAGGGAGAAAGGTAGATCACAGTCAAAGTTAGATGAAACAATAGATATCGCTATAGAATAAAAAACTATGAGTAAGAGCTTTTTATGCAGGCACGGCAAATTTCTTGGAAAACTCCAGTGTTTATTAGCACCAGTATAGCTAATTTCAGGAACGAACTAACACATCATCTTGGTTGTAAAAGCTATAGTAATCAGAGAAGGTTACAAAAGTTTGTTTTTTGAGGTAGTGGCCCTCCAAAAAATTGAGGCTTTCCGAAACTTTGAGAGCCTGAAATCCCAAAATTTTGAAAGAGTAGCACCAGCCTTTTGAACGGTAATTTTGAAGTATTAGGTGGGTCCGAAAATTCGTGCCGTTTTTTAGACCTATTCTAGAATAATAAAAATGAAGATAGACAAATCTTTTGAAAAGTTTCCGATGCAGAATTTCTTCCTCTTTTCAATGGCTATGTTTACTTTGTGATTGTTCCAAAGAGCGCTGAGATAATTGCCGAAAACTAGAATCCTTCATTTTTACGATCAAATTTCGCTAATTTTCAGAATTTTCGTTTTAGACTTTTGAAGATGCTCTAATAACCTCCTGATAAGTCCAACTTTTTTCAAATCAATGCAATTTTTTTGCATTTTTCATTTTCATCTTTGGAATTTTGCTGAATTATTTTACCAGAACATTGAATTTTGAAAAAATCGTGTGACACATAATTGCACCAAACACTGCGAAATCCTTAAAATATTGAAGTTCTAAAACTCGATTATTACTATTACTAATATTACGAAGTAAATGAGCGATTACGGCGCGAAAATGGATAGATTTTGGAATTTCGGCTACACCCGGAACTAAAGCGAGTTTGCAAAAGTCGCATGTTTCGCGAAGGGAAGATAGTTTTCAGAAAGAGGAGAAAAAGATGCATTTAATGGTACCTAAACTTTTCAAATCTGAGGTTTGCGAGGTTAGAATGAACCAAATATAAAATTTGATCACTTCAGAAAATTTTTAGTATCTAGAAAGCATGCCAAAAATTGCCTGAATTTGAAGAAGGTTTGACCTATCAGATGGGTACTTAGAGCACCTTCAAAAGCCTAAAATGAAAATTCTAAAAATTAGCGGAAGTTAGACATGGTAAAATGAAGGGTTCTAGTTTTCGGCAATTATCTCAGCGCTCGTCGAAACAATCACAGTTTTGGAAAGAGGAAGAAATTTTGCATGGAACACTTTCTAGGATGTTTGTCCTTTATTCTGAATGATTTGAGGATAGGTCTAGAAAACAGCACGAATTTTCGAACCCACCTAATATTTTGATATTATTTAAAAAATGAAAACGCGTGAGTTTTGCAGTTTTCTGGCTCATGTCTTCTATTTTGAAAAGTATGACCATTTCAGAATACTCACAATTTGTTTCTCACCTCATGTGCTGTAATTGTACCGTGAAACCTTAACTAAAATACCAGCATGAAGTATCAACATATATAGGTCCTCAGGAGAAATTTATACATCGAACCAATTCAGCTTTTCTATAATGGCCATTTCTAATCAGAAAAATTCTGCCAAAACTGTCATCATAACAAGATGAGGGTTGAATGATATTATATTGGCTGATACAACGCTCTTTTGCAAATCAAGAATAAAAAGTGTTGTAATCAATGCGTCGATAATTCAGTTATCCATTTGAGCTGCTTTGTCAGAGCTATAATCCGTAATTGAAAGAATGAAATTATGTTGTGATCAGAAACAAACTAGTCTGAGCGAAAAGAATATTGGCACAACCGGATAACCATGGAGATGGACCCTAATCAAGTTAAGAATTTCGAATCATAAAGAGTGACGAAAGTAGTATCATTTTGAGCGAGATTCGACGAACAAGAAGGATGGAAGACTTCAATATTCAGTCCTTTGTGCAGATTGGTTATCGAGTTTTGAAGTTGAAGTAAAGACTCGAGCCAAAAAGACGTTTCTTCTAAGAGCGGATCATACCCTTACGAAACTATAGCGTTTTCAATCAATTATATGAATTGCACTTGGAGTCAAATCGGATGTAAAGAAAATCTGATGCCTAACTTTCAAAGACACCTCCACGGAAACAAGAGGAACTGCGGCATCCCCATGCGCCTATGAACCGATTCAGAGCAGTCTCATTCATTGAAAAAAAAAACTTTGAAATAGTGGCATCTCAGGAAAATTTGTGAATTCTACTAGCTATGAGAAAAGAGAGCATCTATTTGTCATTACTGTCGCACAATGTCTCTGGTTGCTCATAAAAATTGGAACGACTAAAAATGTTGTTGAAGTCAGGGTACTAGAAAAGGGGTGTATGTCAAGAGGCGCGATTTTTATAGCCAGATGAACACCACATAACGCATAATAAGTGTTTTATGACTCTCTAAAAGTACTAGAATTTCAAAAGGAGATGCATCAGATGGTTGCATGGGTTGTTCAATCTTAATACCTTGGAACCGGTTTTAAATAGCAACTTTGAAGGTCAAAAACCCAAGAAAATTCGGTTGAGAACAAATTCGTAAGTATTTCGGTCCATTTTCCACAGCAAAAGCCACCAAGCTCAGCAGTTGGTAATGTCAGACAGATAGTAAGCTAATGCACTTCATCTGATACTTTTTGAAGGCTCGCATAGCACTAAACTGGAGTTTTAAGCTGATGACAGCCGGAGAAATCGCGCCTCTTGACCGTCTCCCTAAGCCCTTCTTAGGCTAAGTTATCGTCATGCTTTTAAGAAGTATATGAGCAGATCTTTTTTTTTACTAATACTAAAATCAAGTGTCA